CTGTGGTTCCTTTTCTTATATATGTATAAGTTAATTTTGTTTGAATTTTCAGTCGTCCACAATCACAAAAAGTATATATATATATATGAAATCAAAAAACAAAAAGCATATATATTAGCTTTTTTCGACTCCTTAACTACCAAGAAATCCACAATGCCCCTCCTATTTCTTTCAGCAAATTGGTTGCTCGATCTGCATAGGAATTACTAGATTTGGGCCCGCTCGTTGGTCGGGTACATTTTATCGATGAAAATTATTCGGACCAAATATGCATTTTATATAATACGATAAAGAAATCCAAATAATTCAGTTACTAAAATGATAAAAATGACATGCATCAAAGAGTTTCATAGAGTTTTCTGACATATTAAATGATTCATCGACGTAAGAAGTTGAGATTAAAAACTAAGATAATATCAAGAAGTCAAATGCTAATTAAAAAACTTATTAAATCGAACTAAAACTATGGTCTACACCATCAATATTATCTTCCTTCGTATCAACCCTCAAACTGTCATTATCTCCAATATTTGATCCACTACCTCCATCATTAAGCATTCTTGTTTCTACATTTCATTGAAAACAAAAATTTAATAATAAAATATTTACAAATATGACACGTCTGTTTCACACCGATAGAATTTACAAATATGAAATATAAACCTTATAATGGAAGTGCTAATAATTAAAAGGAAGAAGTGTCCTTCCTAGACACATAATCTCCTTCCCATTTTTATTAGCTGATTAGCATCTTTCTTTGGAGATGGTGAGTGAACTGATTATTAAGATTTAGGGGATGATGGCATGATGCCGCTTGAGTGTTGTCCTCCAAAAGAATTCTCCAGCTCAATTATCTCTGGTCCAAGTAAAGCCCTTTCAATTGTTTACGTGTCCCGTTTGCAAGGGAAAAAAGAATGGGCCCAGCCCAGTTCGGTCAATAAATTGATAGTGCAATTACCAAAATCTCCTGCCGTGGGTTACGCACAGAGCAGGAAAAAGGAGATTAAGGGGGTTCATGCCAAGAACCTCTATATATTATTGTTAGGAGGATTTAATATGTATTATTTGGCTTCCACTGATTTTTGGGTTTTTACCTAATCTGGCTACTTACAATTGTCACGCCATGATTGGGTATTTGAAAACATATATATAGCTAGCCAAAAGGTAGTTGTTTGGTTTTGGGTTTTTATTAATCCAAATCCACAGTTTGTTTCGTGCACTAATCCTCATCTTTTTTGTAAGAGGGTTGGGTTTTACGACGAGATGCTTCTTTTATCATTTCGCTTGTCTACACAATAAATAAAAGTGAAATGAGAAAAACTATCCCACCATTCAAAAATTCCTGCGCAGAGAGGAACTTTCGGAGACCCATTTTGGGAATTTCCTTCCCTCCGTTTTTTTTTATATTTGCGCCCAACCGCACTTAGCCTTTTAACTGCATCTGAAATTTCTTTTCTTTTTCTATTTGGCCCAACCGTCATTTGCTATAGCTATAAACTTTTTTTGATAGAGCTATAGCTATAAACATAATTTATAGCTTTGGTAGTGATATCTCTATAATTATACAAAGTGGGCATTTTAAAATATTAATTTTATTTAGGCTTTGTTTCTTTCTCATTTTTATTGACCTATTTTCAATCCTTGGGTTGACCCGCTTTGACCCTGATCCGGTAAAAAAACGGGCCGCACACATCCGGCGGGTTGACCGTTGTAATGTAAAATGCGTCTAATTTCCTGTTACCCTTTTTTGCCTTACTTAATCTTTGAAATTCTAAGTTGCACATTTGAATAATGATGTTATATAAGTGTGTTTGAATTTTCACTATATGTTGGATTTAAGTACAGCATGTTATTTTGATATAATATTAGTTGTTATTAATCATATGTTAGATAAGATTTGATATAATTTATAAATGTATGAACAACATAATGGATGTTTTCATATATCTGGGCTAAAGCGGTTGGACCATTAACCTTCAACCCACTTGCCCGATCGGCCAACGGGCTAAATTGGGTTGACGACCTTGCTTAAGACCCTTGAAAGCTATAGTTGATAATATAGCAGGCTTTTATGTTAAAAGTTAGCATTGTGAAATCGTATTGGAGTTATACCAGAAAGTTAGTGATAGTGTACTTTGTACTAAATCGTAGTTTGACCTTTGTTCAAATGCTCAGATCGGTATAATCATCAACCATTTGTATTTGCTATCCGGTTTTTTCGCTCTGATCGGCCAATAAGGTGTGGTATCTAAAACATTGGTTAAAAGTAGATATAATTTTAGTGAGCATTATATTCTAGGTTTTATTTTTTTTATCATTTTCCCAATGTTATTTTGCGGTTTCGTTTTATTATTCATAATATTAAATATATACGATATTCTAAATCATTCGTTCAATACTTTAGAAGTATTTTTGTACTTTTACTCTTTATGACATCTATAGTTGGTTGAGAGTTGTTTTGTTATAAAATTTGACTATATTTTAACATGATCTCTAGCTGATCGGATTAATTTGTGATTTAATTATTTTCTATGATATTATTTTGATATATCTTAGTCATGCCTTTGATAATTAATCTATTTCTCATTGGCAATAGTGGATTTGATATCATAGTATACTTTGTTATGTTTCTATTTTTCCCATGGCATTAGAGTAGTTTCTGTAAGTAATTATTTTGTGAGCAAAGTAAATTGGGTCTGGTCACATATTTTTTTATTATGAGGTTGGACACTAGCCCATGACTTGACTTATCTTAGTGTGAGTTTAATTACGAAATGAGAATCTATTACCAGGGATTAAGTGGGCATTTTAAAGAAGATTTATTGATGTTCTTAACAATTTGTTTTTGGTGACGATTGGTGTGACGATGAAAGTTGCTTTTTTGGATTCGAAAGTTGCTCAATGTTAAGAACATGTAGTACCGCCTTGGAGGATTGAGAATTATCAACTAAGCATCGAGTGTTTGGTTGAAAGTCATCAAGCAACCAAGTCCAACATAGTTTAGGAAAAGAAAATCATAATTTGTGGTGGTGCACTCAGTTTCAATTAACCACAATCGAGTATTGAATGTATTTTGTAAGTATAGGTTATTGTTCAGACATAAGTTCTGTTTAGTATACCAATCCCTATAAGTGTGAGAATTAAAAATAAAATTGTGATCTCTATAATAGGTATCTACATATTCTCGAAATTCAAGTAATCTGGCCATAAATACATAAATTTTGATAAAGACAATAACAAGAAAGAGGGAAGTGATTGAGAATTAAATTGTCATTTTCAGAAGAGAAGATGTAAAAAGTACTAATAAAGTCAATTCAATCCCTGTGATTGAATAAATATTAATTAATCATTGGACCTAAATTTAACATAATAATTTATAAATAATTAAGCACAATGCATGTGGAACCAATAAAATCCTTCCTATATTCGGGCAAAGTCTTGCTAAACTGAGTTAATCCAATTTGACCATTAATCATTACCCATTTGCTTCAATGAGTCAACAATTTAAATTTTGTTGATAATATTGATTATAACCAATTACAGTAAACAAATTTGTTGCATATATTTACTAGAAAACATATAACAGTGGAGTTGGTACTCGAACTTGGAAAAATTCAAAAACTATTACTGAATTATTATATTGTGAAGGGCGATATGCAGGAAAAATTCACAAATTAATATATGCAGCTGAAAGAAAACGAGTGGTTGTTTTACTACAAATAGCATTCATATGTTACGTGAGAGTAAAAATGGAAAATAATTGATGACAACATAAGGTCCATGCCTGGTTCAAATCAACCGGATTAAGAACTCATGACTAGAATAAAAGAGATAAATTCGATGAGATTATTATGGTGACCACTGATCTACAAATTGTTTGGATGAATACGAGAAGTATCTGTATTAGAATATTGAAACTTTTGAGATGATAGGCTTTTTGAATGAAGGTAATGAAGGGTCGACGAACAATGACTAGAAACAATTAGAAGATGATGAGAAACAGCAATACCATGAGGTGGGTACCGGGGTGCCATTTTCAGAAAATTTGGGGTTGGAGCGAGAGAGGGGATACATGTACCTTTTTATATAAATAAAATTTAAAACACAAAGCGAATTTAGGTAATTTTATACATACAATCGATAACAAATTGTTTCAATATGTTAATAAATTTTGTTATTTCCTTTTTGGCTTGGATATATATTTAATTTTAAAAAATAAGAAATGTTTTAGTATTTTGTATGAAAAATATATTTAATAATTATTTAATAAAAATAAATATTTTATTAACATTTTAAATATACAATTATCCGACAATAGGCCTTCTCTCGCTCTCACTCTACGTGTCGACAAATCTAAAATAATTCGGCTAACGGGCCGGGTTAACAACTAGTTAGTTGTTATTTATGTTTGTTTGGCCATTCACTATTTGATGATCAGTGGAGGAGCCAATGTTGATGTCAAGAGAAGTTATAATTCCATTTCAATTCTAAAAATTATGTAAATTTTGTAATAAATTTGGGACACATAGTCATTAGTGATAAGGAATCTTCTTTATTATTTTAATTGTTTTTATTAATTGTAATTCAGTTGGTTAGTGGCTAGGTAGTTCCTCTTTTGTAGTCACGTTTCTGTTCTAGAGATGGTATTTAAAGTTTAAACCACTCTCCTAAATGAATAATTGTCCAGTAGATATACAAAGAAATGTTTCTTGTGCAATGTAGACACCAAGCATATTCTACAATTATTTCCTAATATGAAAACACATCACAGACATTTTTTAACTTGTACGAGTCATGTATTTTCGTATTTAATAATTATACATTTTTATTTTTATTTATTTTATTTTTTAAAAGAGGACACCCCTAAGTAAAATTCATGGGTCTGCCACTGCCCCCCCCCCCCCCCGGCTCTCGCAGCTGCATATTTATCGATTACTCACCCAACCAAAGGGCTTACCTCTGTTATGAGCCCATAACTAATCGCCTATATACTTCTCGCCATGTCCAATTTGAAGAATCCCTACTCCCTAGTCCTTGGTATCACATCTGACCCCCCTTCCCCACTCTACACTTCTCCCGACTGGTTAGCTATCACCACCCCACCAATTTCAGAATATTCCCTTCCCCCTACATCTCCCTCCCCTGTCGTGACTGCTGCTCCTCCGACGTCGGCCACTCCTCGCAGACACTACCGCTCCCCCCGGTGCTACATCCTCACGACAAAATCAGCTCCCACCACCGCCGGCCAAGCTGTCTCATCGCCCTGTCGCACGAAGTCAACGGGGTATTTTCTGTCCCATGAAGCTTTTTACAAATCAGGTAGCTCCTCTTGAAGTCGAACCCACCTCGGTCAAGCAGGCCCTTGCTGATCCGCGTTGGCGTGCTGCCAGGCGAGCCGAGTATGCTTCTCTGCTCTCTAACCGCTCCTCTTCTCTTGTGTCATGGACACTTGACCACACATCATCAACTGTCGTTGGATCTTCCGCATCAAACGTCATCCCGATGGGTCCATCGATCGGTTCAAAGCCCGGTTGGTATCGAAGGGCTTCACTCAACGACTGATCGACTTCCATGACACTTACAAACCGGTCCTCAAGCCCGTCACCATCTGCACCATCTTCTCCATTGCGCTATCACATCGCTGGCCCATCTTCCGGTAAAATGTGAACAATGCCTTCTTGCAAGGCTCTCTTCAGGAATCTGTTCACATGGCCCAGCCATCCGGTTTCCTCAAGCCTGCCCATCCTGATCATGTTTGTCAAATCAGTCGGCCGATCTAAGGTCTTCGCTAGGCACCCTGTTCTTCGTACCTGGAGTTATCTGGTTTTCTTGAGCATGATGGGTTTATCAAGTCGAAGTCTAATGCTTCCCTATTTATATATCACAAGGCCGACGTCACTCTTTACCTCATGGTTTATGTCAATGATCTCTTATTAACAGGTAATAATGCGGTGGCCCTCTCCGGTTTCCAGGCTAGCCTTGCGGCCCCCTTTTCTCTCAAAAGCCTCAGCCCATGCTACGTTCGAGATTCTCTGGATTCAAAACCTCCTTCGCGAGCTGCATCAACCGCTACCCTCCACGCCGACACTCTATTGTGACAACCTTGGCGCTGTAAATTTCTCCGCCAACCCCATTCTTCACTCTCGCATGAAGCACCTCGCCCTTGACTACCTCTTTGTCCGGGATCTTGTCCAGTCCAAAGCTCTTATGGTTCGTCATATACCAACGGTTCATCAGCTTGTCGATTCATTGACCAAGCCGCTGCCTATCACACGGTTTCACCTTCTTCGATCCAAGATTGGTGTCGTCCGAGCACCATCTTGCGGGGGTGTGACAAGGAATCTTATTTATTATGCTAATTGTTTTTATTAATTGTAATTCAGTTGGTTAGTGGCTAGGTAGTTCCTCTTTTGTAGCCACGTTTCCGTTCTAGTGATGGTATTTAAACCACTCTCCTAAATGAATACAACCTACGTTGTTCCATCATTCACAGTTAGTAAGCCATTGGCCCTCATTGCCGGTTCAAACTCTCAGGGCTTAGATTTTTAGCTCCCCTCGTTCGGTTTTTCTGGCTCCGCCATTATTGATATCTTCTTCTTCTTTATTTCCATCTGTTTCTATAATTCTTTCATTAAAAATCACATTGTATTTTGTACTTGTGAATTGTGTTTTACACCGTATATCTACTTTTAATCATATACGCACTAAACTATTGGGATTTTGAATGGTTGTTCGGGGCTCTTGCGATCCACTTTTGCTTTCAATTAATTAAGCTTAATGATGATTTTTGCATCCAATTATATAGAGCAAATAATAAATTAGATTAGTGGTACTACAACAGATCTTCAACCTGACTTAATTTTGTGATATTAACAATAAAATCACGTGGTTGGTTAGCTTACTAACCCCTTTTAAAAGGTTGGAAAAATGATACCCCTATTATTTATAGTTATTTTTAGTATTAAATTTGTGTTGCATTTAATAATCTTTGGAAATTAAAAACTAATATTAATTACTTTCTTTTTTTAAATACCATTGCACTGATACAACTACCATTGCACCTGTACACTGAACTCATATTAATTACATTCCTTTTTTTTATAACGATGATGAACATTGAATTAAACAAAGCAACCCAGAACCAGGTTCAAGTACAAAGCATCCCACAAGAGGTGGGAGAGGAGACACCACAGGAAAGGAACAAAAGAATAAGAAGGAACAGAAGCAGACTCTCAAGCCGAGAGCATAAAGACGAAGAAGAGAAAGAAAAAGATAGCAAATGAATACAGAAGCAAACTCATAGCCAAATCACCCGACGTGAGCACTCCGACGAGTAAGACGATCCTGCAAGAAGATCATTCCCTGAAGCTTATCAATTTTCTTATGTACCGTGATCCATTCGACGATAGCTCTGGAAATTTTCCTCGCCACCACCGAAGAAGGACATCGAATCTCCTGGAAAATACGTTGATTCCTTTCCTTCCACACATACCAACAGACCACATGAATGGCGCAGGAAGTGAACCATGCCTCAACACCCTCCAAATTGATAGACTCATTATGATTGATAATGGTGGAGATATCACCAGACGAAAGATCCATAGGATTGATGTTGTTGAACACCTCCTCCCACACTCTCCTAGTATAGCAACACCCCACCATAAGGTGATTGATCGACTCTTCTTTCATATAATAGAGTTTGCACCGATTAGCTAGCTCGAATCCATACATTCCTTTTTTTAACTACCATTGCAGTGATACAACTACTATTACACATGTATACTGATATCATTGCACTGATACAACTACCATTGCACTGGAAAAAAAGAAAGTAATTAATATGAGTTTTAAATTCATACGGATTATTAAATACAACACAAATTAATTGCCTTAAAAGCCTATAATTGATAGGAGGTGTCATTTTTCCAACCTCTGTAGGGGTAGTCATGCTATCTTATCCCTAAAAACCCACATATGCGATACGTCACACTGGAAAAGGAACAATATAATAGGATTTTACCCAGAATACACACATTTAAAAAAAAAATCTCAACGTACACACGTTTTATGAAAAATTCTCAATCTAAACATGTTTGGCCATCACCGCGGCATACTAAAGCGGTAAATGCATCACCGCGGTGAAGGCTTCATCGCGTTTGTCTGCCGCGGTGAAGGTCTGACCTAAGGCTGAAACTTCAAACTAACGTAACTTTCCGCTCGGTTATCCGATCGTAGTGAAATATTTTTTTATCCCGCATAATTTTTCAAATCTTTCAATTCAAAACCCTCCTTCATCCCAAAAAAATGTGCTTGCTACCCCAAACGAGTAATTTTTCGATTTCGACAAACCTTAGAAAACCATAACTTTGTGCTACGCAATCCGAATGTCATGAAACTTTTTTTGATTTTGCATAAATTTTTAAGGACTACAACTTCGATCATAATCATAATTTTGGAATGTATGTGAATTTTTGAAAAGTAAAGGCAAAGTTATTCCCAAAATCCCGTATACCCAAAAAATATATCTTGTTTTGAAAATTATTTCCTAGTAAAGTTGTAGTTCTTAAAAAATTATGCGAAATCAAAAATAGTTTCATGACATTCGGATTGAGTTGCACAAAATTTGGCAAAATCGAAAAAGTTGCTCGTTCGGGGTAGCAAACGACATTTTTATTGAATGAAGGCAGGTTGCAGATGGAAAGATTTTGAAAAGGTAAGCGGAATCAAAAACAATTTCGCTATGATCGGATAACTGAGCGCAAAATTACATTCATTTCAAGTTTCAGCTTTAGATCAGGCCTTCATTGCGGTCAACAAACGCGGTGAAGCCTTCACCACGGCCGTCAACCGCGGTGTTACATTCGCCACTTTAATCTGCCGCAGTGATGCACAAGATGTGTAGATTGGAAATTTTTCATAAAATGTGTATATTTTGAATTTTTTTTAAAAACATGTATATTTTGATGTTTTTTTTTCCTTAATTTAATAGGGATAGGCAGCTGGCTGCAATTGAGGGTCGATACTTAGAGGGAAAGAATTCATTTCATTTTAATGGAACATCTCTCTTATTCTTGAAAGGTTTCAATGGGACATTTTATATTATTTGGTTTATTTAACTCGATCACTTTGCATTGTACTGTCGGCATCAGCTTTTTTAAGCGGCATCATCCATTTCATTTCAACTGTTTTTTTTTTAATATTTTTTTAATTTCCTCCTCAGTGTTCCATTTTTTTAAACTAATGAAATTTAGGATCGAGTTTGTGACTTTGTTGATTAATTCTGTTACGCGGAAATCAAGCTTCCATCATTATCATTTATCAATTAGACCATTGTAGCCTGGTGCCTGGACGTCTGACGTGCATGCATTACTATCCTATCCAAACGTATTACATAAAAATATATTTATATAAACAGTTAGCTATACCTAACTCAAATATCAAAAGTAATAATTATGATTATGAATCGTCGCTGATAAATAATAACGACATCGCTTAAAGTACAGTGTACTCCAGAAAGGTGTGGATCATTACTATGTGCTATGACTACAATTCAAGTACCACATTGGTAATACAAGGGAAGAAACCCTTGTATATTATTATCCACCTAATCCAATTAGTACGAGACTTTTTGGGGTAGACACCCAAAAGTAAATACGTGCGGGCTTGGTCTAAAGTGGACAATATCGTACTAAAGCGGATCTCCACCAAACATACGCAAATCACAAATCCCGAGGTCACCGAACGAGAATCCACCGAATTCAGGCTCTCTTCTCTTGAATTATCGATGTGGTACTTGGATTGTCCCATATACAACTCACCGCCCAGACCCATATTATTTGACTGTTAATACAAAATTTACATTATTGTGTTGAGTGAGTCTTATATAAATTCGTTTCTGTGCATTTTATTTCAATTCGAATTCAAACACGTGGGTCACATTCAAAAAGATTTGGCTTTGTCCTGTAGCCTGCACAACAAGATCCAATACCAATAGGCCAAAATCATATGCATTGTTGTTATCCACAGCTCAGTAATTACACGTATATAAATTTAGCTACTCAGATGAGCTTCCAATATTGGGTATTTAGCTTCCTGTATCATTGTAAAATGAAAATATATTCTTGTTAGTAATTGAGAAATCTCAAACGGTTGAGTTGGATCAACTCCCTCTCTCGCCATATTTTTTTATAAGATATTTAGTGAGAGAGAGGGGTACTGAATGTTCGAACTCGGGTCAAGGCCCACGTTCACACAACTAGAGTGACCAACGCTACCAATGAACCATTATGTACACATGTCGCACTAGTTTTGATTACCAATAATATACGTTAGATTTAGTTTCTGAGCGTAAAAATATCAAAATGAAAGAAAAGGAGAGTGCAAGTGGTTTATAAAACTTCTAATCACTTTAATTCGATAAATAAGTGATTAACGGGTTATTGTATGTACAATTTAATAATAAATATTTTGATTAATAAATAAGTTTGAATGATTAATTAATTAATTTTGACTTTTACGGAACGGTAGTTTCACAATAAAAAGTTTGTCGCTGCTGGAATTCCTTTCCAACGTCTCCTCCACTTGTTGTTCTATACTATACGAGATACGAAAATCTTATAATTGAAGGGAAGAATTAAATGTTTGGTTGCCGTGGAATGCGACGGAACTCCCCCAAAAGAACTTTACACAAACAAAAATCTTTGACTGCCAGAGGAGAGGAGAGGAGAGGAAAATTTGTTTGGATAGCAAAGCCAAAGCCAAAGCCAAAGCCAAGAAAAGGAAGGCTGCACTCGATCTATGTAAAGGGATACTGCGCGTACGTACAAACTCAGACCATTTATAGCATTGTAAACTTTGTACACATATGGATAGGAATGGATCTCGCCTGCTGCTTAGATTTCGTGCAGTAATAAATAATAATTCTGCAACTCAGGTGGTGACTGAACACAACACACAATATCTCTCAATCATCTTGGAGCCGATCAATGCTGATTGTGTCTGATGTTGATAATAAATCATTATGATATATTGTGAGTTCATACATAATTCAGACTTAGTATAGCTTTCATTTGGAACGTGCGAAATCAAATTTACGTTTATTTCATTGGCCATATATAGAGAAAGAAGGATTGAGGGTTGTAATTAGGTTTTTTTTTTTTTTTTACGAATTTGTAGTAGTTAAGGACTTGTAGTTACCTAATTTTGTTAACGAAGTCGATATGAATACGAGGACAGGGTAGATTAGAGTAGGGATGGCAAATTACCCACCCATGGGTAATTATACCCAAACCCAAGTAGACCCATTGATAATGGGTTGGGTATGGGTGAAGTGCATATGGATTTGGGGCTTCCATAATCTAAATGGGTATGGGTTGGATATGGATATCCATTTACTTGAGGTGTTTTAACTACACATGTAAAAATTGGACCTATTTGCAAAACTTGAAAAGTTTAGGTACCAAAATGTAAGACCAATAAAATTTAGGTACCAAAACGTAATTTTCCATCGATATTTTGAGGACTTATGTGCAAAAAAAAATTAAATTTAGGTACTAAATATGCATGTCTATTAAGTTTGGGTACCAAACTGTAATTTATATTTGGGCATGGGTACAAACCCAAATCCATTTGATATAAACCCAACTCAACCCAAAGTAAATGGGCATGGGTACAAACCCATCAAACTCTACCCATATCCATCTACTTGGATTTCATACCCAACCCAATTGGGTTGGATAGTAAGAAACCCATGGGTATGGACAACGTTGTCATCCCTAAATTAGAGTCACACGCGTTTAACACTATAACCATCAATCACCATCTAAGTTATTTCTAGTTACTCCTCATGCTTGCTCTATACCTTGGTAAAGTTCAAATTTTTTTTTTTTTTTGGTGCTAATACTAAAATGATGAATTGGGTTGTCTCCAAAATCCAGTATGGGGAAAATTGTTATCCCTAATTCAAACAAACCGTCACATTGAAGTTCATGCTTACATGTAGCCTTTAACATTGCCCCGTATTAGTTGGATGGGTGGGTCGGACCTTCCTTTTTCTAACCTTTGCTAGGCTGCATGTTGTGCTCGCGTCAAAGATTTTGGCAGACTAAAATTGATATATATCGATGGTATTATATATGATATATGAACCTCTCCTTTTCCTCTACTTTTGGCTCCCAACCAACCTGAAGATAAGATCATAAGACGATACCCAGCTGCCCGCTCCCCTTTTCCTTGGCCATTGTTTCCCGCCGAAGAAAATAGAGGAAATGTAAGTAAAGAAAAATGAGCATGTTTCATTTGACTGCATGCAGCGGAAAGAGGAAATTTTTTTTTTTTTTTTTTAGGGGAAAGAGGAAAATTATTAGTGGAAAAGAGAGAGTATCATTTCATTATATAGAAAATGATAGCTCGATTGTTGCGTTTGACAAATCAATGTGCATGATGGAGGGAGAACCATAATTCATTTTTGACAAATATACTGTTCTTTTGATGCGTTTAGAGAGTAGATCGAGACACAAATCCAACACCGAATTCCTACTTATATAGGCATAAATAAATTGGTGTATTCATGGGCAAATAAATTAGTGGATTCACAAATTGGATTACATGAATTGATGGATTAGATACAAAAATTTTCACTTCTATCGGACGCAACGACTATTATCGAATGATATGGAAAACACGTTGATACAATTATCAAGCAGTTAACCCGTGCACCATTTTTATGAATATTACGATAGCAACCTGGAGTAAAGGGGAAATAAGTACCACATTGCCGAAGTTGTCTGGATTCCAATACATCATCACTCAACTATTTAGCTAATCGTTAGGTTCCAATAACTCAAGATGTTGAATGATGATAAAATTAAATATGGGTTTTCTTATGTCATTTAGTAACACGTCAACTCCAAACTCCAAACTAAAGCCAACTAATAAATACATGAAATTCACATAAATCTAACTATCAAATGATTGGCAAATGAAAATGGTGAAAATCCAAACACAAAGCCTCTCAAAGGCTTTGTGACTACAAACCACGCCGCAAAGGCACAAGGCAAGTAACGGTAATAACGACCAAACCACCACACCGGCGGCCATTTTTTCCCCATGGAATGGCTATTTCATTAGAAAAACCATAGCTCTCATAGAAAAGCAGCTACAGATCAGATGACAACAATATTCAACCAACAAAAGTAGCCATCCCAGGACCACCGCATTAAAAATTATCCCAAAAAATCATAATCATTCATAAATTCCCGATTAATTATGGTACTGATGACGAAGGAAATTTATTTATATTATGATCCGAATGAAGAAGAAGAAAAAAAAAATCAAACTTGAAGTGACGCCGTAGCAGCCCAAAACGGCTCCCAGTTGAACAAGCCTTTCCCATTCTTGTTGTCATACTGTCCCCCTCCTGCTACGCATCTCCAGGCGGTGTTGGAGTTTGTGTTAATGTTATTCATACTCCTACTCCTACTACTCTCACTCTCCGTCATTATCTCTTCTCCTTCTCGGCTAAGGATTTCTCCATTCCCTTCCGCAATTTTCTCGCTGGCGGTTACGGAGGAGGAGGAAGAGTCAAAATCCCTGACCAAGTGGAGCCTCAATCGGCCGTCGATCCTCTCCGCCTCGAAACACGACGGCTGGGATCGACACTTGACGGCCTCGATCACCAGCCTCCCTCCTTCCCTGTGGGGCCTCCTCACCCGGACCACCTCCGGCCCTTTCATCGTCGTCAGCGGCGGCGGGAAATCCCGGCGAGCCGCCGAATTACAACCACCTCTCCTCGATCTCTTGTATTTCCCACAAACAGCCGGCCGCGATTCCTCCACCCCCGTGGTCGGCGTCGGCGAATTCGATTCCGGTTGGGGACCAGCTTCCCGTGGAGGCGAAGGGGAGAAGAGGTAATTCCGGTCATCGTCGGTGGCGGAGGCGCTGTCGGACCCGGTTTCGGAGCCGAGGTTTTCGGTGCAGAGCTGGAGGGATCTGTCGCTGAGGGAGGAGGGTTTTGACGCGTACGGAGTGGAAGCGGGTTTTAGGATTGGGGAAGAAGGAGGAGTCGGGTCGGATTCTGATAAGGTTTGGAGGAAGCTCCACCCGCCCCATTCTGATGGCTTGAGAGAGAGCTCGAGGGAGTGGTGGGAGGGTTTGGGTGCGGAGAGTCGCAGGCGGAGGGTTCTGGGATCGGCCATCTGAGATTCGAGACAGGATTGGAGGCCCTGGAAAACGATTGTACCCATTTATTTTTGGGTTGTTTGTTGTTTTTATAGTCAAAGTTGAATCCTTTTGGTGGATGGATTACTAGGAGAGGAAGGAAAAACAGAGGAGAGGAGAAACAGGGGAATGTTGTATGTGTTTGTTTAGAGAGGGAGGTTGTGAATGGAGAAGAGAGAAGAGGGCATGAGGTTGAATTGAAGAGTGGGAGGGTGCATTTGTAGGGGCCAAAAAGTGATTGCAACAAAGTTTTTTATTTTTATTTTTATTATTGAATTGGCAAAATGGAAAGGAGAAAAAACAGAGGAGAAAGGGGGCCTTTTGGCAACCACTTGGAATTTTGATTGATAAAATTCCCAATCTAGCTCGCACTGTTTAAGAAGGAGGAGAAGAAGGAATCAAGGCCAAAAAGGTTGTGAATTAAAAAGTTTCCATTAGTTTATTCACCTCTTTGTGTTTATGAGTGAATTCCCAAAAAAACAATTAGTCATTCAAAAATATACTACTTTAGTGGTATTGGAGAAGTTTACCATTATAACCAAATTATACATCTCCTATGTCCTTAAACTTGTATCCTTGATCTCGTTGCATTATGTGTTCGTATTGCATTTTTTTTTTTATGTTTCGATGACCAAATGCAAGTAACGCTTGCACAATAAAACATGGACCAAGACTTCATTGATGTTAGTTCAAGTCACAACATTCACTTAACACTAGACTTTCAAACGTGTTATTTTTTTTTTATTCTCAATTAATTGACAGGGCTCGCACTCGGCGGGGGAATAGTTATCAAGGACCTGACTGGTTCGATAGTCTTGACTCTGGGAATTCATATTGAAGATATTGATGATCCGCTTACAATTGAACTCTTAGCGCTCCGCGAGGCCATCCAGTGGTGTTTGGATTGTGGTCTCTTGCAGGTTCAGTTTGAAGGAGACGCGAAGGTGATCATCGATAAGATAAACTAGGCTAATGCTCAAGATAATCATTTAGGAGCCATTCTTGCAGAAGTTCGTGGTTTGTTGGCAAACCTTAATGGTCTTAATGTATGATTTGTAGTATCGTCCATTCGGAGACATCCGATAAAATTGCAGCAGGTAGTATCTGCCTTTGCAAAAAAAATATAGGTATTAACTGGTGAAATAAAAAAATATGGTAAAAAATTAAACATGAAATGACTATTTGGCCATTTAATTTATTTCTATTTCCTATAAAATCTGAGGCGAATCCCAGCAATTAAAACTCATTAGCTGATTTTCCTTATTTCGCAAAAACAGAGACGTTTCATGTTTTTGGGAAATTAATAATTATGATGCCAAAGAAAAAAGGAAAAAATTATCATTCATTCTGAAGGTTATCCTTCACGAAAATACAAACGACCTGTTCTTATATAAAGCTCTGTCACTTTCAGACATATTAATAAGAAAACATTAAAACATATTGGTTGAAAAAACATAACGAACAACAGTAAACAGTTGCACCCATGGAGCCAAAACAGAAAGCCAGTGGATCTCGTCAGTTGCCCAATGCAAAGCCATTGCAATCCAAAAAGGTTCAATCTTGCCTCGTGCTAGTAACTTCAGTTATATATTGGTCAATGAATTAACTACGCCGACTTTTAGTTTTAAATATCTGTCAATCGATTGTTTTGAATTCGTTTTAGTTAAACCGATTTATTCGATTTAAGTCAAACTTCTAACCGATTGGCAACAAAATATTTATAGATTTGTTGTGAATTGTGATATCGTTGTATTGCAAATATCATTTCGATCGATTGTCCTAAATAATCTCATGTATATTAGATTCAATAAAACCAAACAAAAAAAAAAAACTATTACCAACAACAAACGATGTATGTTCTGCATAACTGTGTTATCTTATGATTCACATGTCTTATCTATCTATTGTCCATAAGTAAGTCTCATGTATTTCATTTACAATCGAAGTTAAAATTTTAATCAATTGAAACAACATATATTATAGATTAATAATTTTATTTTAAAATTCACCTATTTTCGATCGACTGTCCTACAAAAATTTAAGTAAATATTTAATATTGTAAAAAAAATTACCAATTATTTTTGTGTGTGTGTGGTTTCCCTTGTGAGACTCCTACATATGAAAAATATATATAATATTTCATATCCGTATCCTAATATCAATTCTTTTCCTTATGATTATTCAAATAATTCCATTAAAATTCAACCAAAAAAATAATAATTCCATTAAGCTTAAGGAATGTCCTTAAACCAAAATTTCATTTACCATTAAACGAAAAGATAAATTCGCATACAGTGTAGGGCTAAAGGCCCTAAGTAATAGGCCTAAAACAATTTCTTATTTGTAAATTGTAAGTAAAAAAGAACCCAATTAATAAATCCCAAAGAATAAATAAAGAAGACAAAAAAAAAAAAGTAAGGACACCGAATGGGCGGATTGGTTACCTATAATGCATGCTTTCTTCGGACGAACAAAAAAATTGAGATATACATTATTAATCAATACCATGATGGTAATGTTTGACATTGGTGAAATTATAACATAGTGGTATGAAAGTGTGTCGTAATGGTATGGATATAATATAGTGTAGAGTATATGTATATATGATCGTAGGTATATACTAATCACTATGAGCAATTTTTCAAAATTTGAGTTAAAAACGCGGGTGATACCTGGATGTTAATGTGTGGTACATGATTTTTTTCTCAAAATATATTTTAAAAAATCAAAATAAAAATACTTTTTAAATCAAAATAAATTAATTTCATCTATACCGTTTTTAATTTGAGTCAATAAAATATACAAGTTGATAAAAATTAGAAAAATAAATTAAAACCCTAATTTCACTCCTTATATTTTACTTTACTCAAAATAAAAAGAACTTATCTAATTATATTAAGTCTCATGCTCCATCACAGGGTACAGGTGCATATTCAAAATCGTGGCTGGTAAACTTGTTGCATTGTTGTATTTTTCCGGTAAGAGCCAACCAACCTTTTTGATGAACAACTCTTATGAGAGATAATATTTTGATTGTTCAATTAGAGGAGACATGGAGAGGAGGTCCTTTATTATGCCTATTTGTATGTTGGGTTGAAGCTTGTTATCACTTTCATGTTAAACAGTCTATTTTTCAATAGTCGCTTGTGAGATTGTCTTTCTCGTAAAAGGGAGCAAATTTAGATCACTTCGTTAATAATTTTTGCTTCTCCATAGATTTAACAAGACAATTTAGACTTGACTTATAGATACTTGGATGAATATGAATCTTCCTAGTTTCATGTCATTCAACAATTTGTACCTTTGCTTGTATATGGGGGAAAGGACTAAAATGTTACAATAATTATTTTTATGGGCCAAATAGTTAACAAGGTTGGACTGGTTGGTAACGTGGACTTGAGTGACTAGAACTTAACTGCCCATGAATAAGACAAAGTTCAATTTAATCATATAAATAGAATTTACCGAAAATTTAGAAGGAGGAATTAGAAATGGAGGAGAGGAAGGGACGCCGGGGGAGGTGGTGAGCAGCGGTGGAGGAGAAGGCGGCGGAGGTGGCGGTGGAGAGAGAGAGAACACAGAGAGAGAAGGCGTGGAAATGCTAAAGGAAGGTGCGACCGTTTCAAAGCGAAGTTATCGGCAAATCGAGTCCAATCGGCAATCGTCCGACAGAGAATAGAGAGAGAAAGAGAAAGAGACGACGATGACGACGGGGATGATCCCTCAGAGCATTGTCGGTATCCTTCTCCTTATGCTGCTCCTCGTCCTCCTTCTCATCCTCATCGCCTGTAAGCCATGGCGCCTCTGCTTCTCTTCTTCCTCCCGTTCTCGCTCTCTTAAGGTACCTAAATCATATCATTGTTACCTTCCCCTTCCCTTCCCTTCCTTCCTATCACTATTTAGGTTTCGATTCTTGTAAGCATTTCATCTCCCTGATGTGATCGATTGTTGCTTCCCGGCGATCGGCTGCGGTTTCCTTTTTCCGCCGGGAGCTGATAGTTCGGCTGTTCATTGCATTTCTATCTTCTATTATTAGACACGAAAAGCTGCGGCGATCGCTTCTCCTTTCTCTATTGAATTCCTGTATCGTATCCATCTGTGGATTTGGTACTTTGTGTGGTTGAGATAGGGAATGCGAAGAAATGCTGAGGGTTTCGTGTAGCTGTTAGTTGTGGAAGTGAACGATTTTGATAAGACTGTTGATCGGATTGATAGTTGATGAATGAGCATTAATATTATGTGACTGATTGCTCCCGGCATCTGTTTTGTTGATTGGATGATCAAACTCTGGATTTGATATCCTCTGTGCAATTTGCATAATGGGTTTAGCAGCTTCCATTTCTTGTCAAGGGAGAGATAGGTGTGTTTTGAAATGCATTTGTCAAATCATTGGGATTTGATGCTCCATTTCCCTGAATCGAACTTCCATTATGGAAACAATTTCATATGCGCCAGGAATGTAGTTTCAAAACCTCATCGCTACTATCAGATTTTTCAAGTCTTGGCGTCCTTTAGCAGTTTATGGACGGGTAGTTATATTATTTTTCTTTCTCAAGCTCTTCATTTGAGCAACGCCAGTACATGAATCACGTAATAACTCAATGTTCCCGTTTGTTATTGTACATCCAATATGCTTATGGATGATCAGGCTGAACAATGTCTCATGTTTTTTCGCAAAGTGATATTTTTGTGTGCCATGCTCCACTTGTGCTTAATCATTGATGTTCTAACCATTGATTTTGTCCTTGTTAGAATGGGGGTGAGATAGAGAGGCCTCTTGTTTCAGATGATGTGGATGCCCATAATGGCAACAATGAAGGTGGAAGAACCTATGATATTGAGGGAGCTTGTTATCAAAATGACGGGCTGTTGCGTACGCCTCGCATGGAGGGACTTGTCCACAAACCAAGGGTTCCTTCTGCATCTCCTCATGTGACTCCCCAAGGTTTTTAGCACTATGTTCTTTCATTATGTTTGTGCTACTTCTTAAGCTGGGATATCTCTTTTGAAACGTTGGT